GGTGGATGAGGGTAGAGGTAGCCGACAAGTATGTTTTTATTACTCGGTGTCTCGTATTGGTTCTAAAGTATCCGTTTTCAGAACGGTTTCCTTGAATATTCACCATCTTTTATTGTTTATTTTGTCACACAGGACTTTTTCCCAGACTTCTTGTAATAAGCTTCGATAGCTTATCCAACAAAGATGTTGTGGCAGGTATCGGCTGGGAACGCTCCATTCTGCACTTGGAAACATACGAAAGACCTTTTCTCAAAAGATTTCATTGACCGGTAATTCACCTGTCAGTTGATTTCTATTTCAACTTTAGTTGCTATTAGTGAATCAAAGTCATCGAATAGAAGGGGCAAGTATAATAAGCACCGAAATAGGCTCAGGATAAACTGCAAAACATCTCGGAATAGTGACAATGGTGTAGCTGTGTGATGGATCATGGTAACGTCTACTAGTTGGCCGCACACATACCATTCATGCTTATAGACGATGTAGTGTGAGGATGCAGTGCTTGTCTTCTGCTTGCAGAATAGTTCTAAAAGTAATGGATTGAGGAGAGTGCCTGTGAATACTCATTGTGAAAGGATCTCGTAGCAATTTAGAACAGTCAGAAAGTTTTCGTAAGCAATCCTTCCACGGATCAAGAAATCATAGGTTACCGTATAGAATCCAATAAAATTCCTAGAGCTTATTTCATGAAGTGGTCTTTTTGTAGTTACTTGGATACTTGCTTGGATATTTGGGCAGGACGCTTTTACCTGTTGTGCGGCCCCCCGCACATGTTCCACTTGTTTATTTGCTTCACGATCGTCAGGCATGATGGCTGGTACAAGTCTCATACCGTTATCCGTAAAACAACTGTAGCTGCTTTTACATCTGATTAATTTTAGTTACGAACACGTCCACCCATCGTATAGGCGGTCGTTTTAAGGGATCCATGCGTCCTCGTGTAGTCCACTGTACCATTCCTTTTGTCCACCTATCATCTGTTATACTCATTATGTGAGTGGGCCATCTATGTTCCGCTATCGATGTGTGTTCGCCTGGGTCTCGAAGATAATATAGGTTTTGAAGATCATAGCTTCGCAATTCGGATAGAAATCGAGTTTGCTAGTTCTATTTCAGAAGACCTCATTGAAGCGCTGTCTGAGTAGTGCACAGTATTCTTGACGTAGTTGAAGTACAGGCCTACGTCTGTGCTGTATAAAAGAGTGTTACGAGGACTGTCCAGTCGAAAAGATGAGCGCAGGTTTTCGGGTCGTTTAGTTGGGTGGTGGCTTTGGGTGGCTTCTTCGAAAGGACGGAATGCGGCCCAAGCTGGTCTCCGTGTCCTATCTAATTCTTCGTTCATGTTGTACTCCATATTTAATGAGCACCGAAGGTATATGCATGAGATGGTATCTGTAATCAGAGAAGCATTCGGTATGATTTGTTTTCTTTTGCACCATGGATTCTTCGTCAACTGGGTCTTCTTTTGATTTATGCGTAGTCCTTTTTTTTTTTTACGGTTTATGGAGCTCACTGATCATCGTCCTCGGTTCTCTGGTACTTCTTGAGAAGACGATGTCGTGGGCAAAACGAAAATTTGAAGGGGATTTTTCACCGATATGTATGCCTTTCTCACCCCCAATCGAGTGGCTTCATTGTCCACTGCAGTGCATCAGTAAACAACTTTGGCGATATTATGTCGCCTAGTCACACCTCTTTTCCTATGGATGTGATAGGAGGTCGATGGAAAAACTGTATCTTCGTAGTGCAGTTCCGGTAACAATTTCCACGCTGCCAAACGCTTTTTCATAGTCAAAATAAGTCAGGACTAAGAGCAAGTGGTACTTTAGAGACGGTTTGAATGCTGCTTGCTCAACTGGTTGCTCTTCATCCTATGCTCTTGATATGCGCGACATGATAATTTTCGTGAAGAGCTTGTAGTGTACTCTCAATAAGCATATCGGACGATAGTTGATAGTATCCCTTTGGTAACCTTTCTTGGACTGGAGGATGATCGTACGCTACGTCCTCCACTGGTCTGGGGTTGCTTCGTTTTGAAGGTAAGATGTACTATGTTTTGCGGGAGATACGTGTTAACTGTAGCTCTCAGCTCTAAAGGATTCGGTGGTAATATTATCGTGTCCTGGAGCTCGTGCCTTTTTGATATTTTCTATCGAAACTCGAATCTCAGAGGGGAGAATTTCAGGTGCATTTTCTCTAGCTCGAGCTTTAGGGTCTGGGACGGTTTTGTGAAACAGAAAAGGCTGGTGTGGAGCTGTGGTGTTTCTCTATCATCAATTTCATATCATAGCAGGAAGCTTTAGTGCTTCGTTCATTAGGGCTGACGGCAGAAAATTATATTCACACAAGTCCCGACGGCATTTTTTCGGATTGTTGCTTTTTTATGCTGCTTCTAATGATTTGTTCTGCCCGTATCGATGTAGATCTTTCTGCAAAGACACTAGATCATTTGACGCTAGCATTATATGACACTCCCAACGGTTTACCGCCTCATCGTGGCTGGGAGGTGTTCGTGGGTGTCACGTTTCCATCAGGAAGCCTAGCTAAGAGTAAACCAGTACCAGAATGCACCACCGTTCTGGTATCAAAGTCGCATGGTGGCAAATCTCCCTCTGATCCACAAGGTCTGCGACTGCCCGTGGTAGTGAAGAACCTGGGGTAGATTTTGGCCAGGATGTCCTCGAGACTCCAGGGAACCATAATGGCTTAACCAGCAAATTTCCGAAAAATGGAGATTATTTTGGGGCCCGCACAACCAGTGAGGACGGACTATTCAAGTATTAAGTAAGTATTATATGGCACTGTACACTATTATTACTAGCCGTGCTAAGCAGGTTGTAGTAAAATCAACTTTCAGTTTCCTCTTCTCAAGCAACTCTTTAGTGGTAGTGGTGGCGTGATCTGTCCCTCCTGCTTGAGGAACTGAGACGAGTTCGGCAAAACTTTTGAGTCCTTCGGCAAGCAATTGGCAGTCTTCGATCGAGTATTCTTTAATCTGCCAGTCACGTTTGGATAGTTTCGTTCAAAATGCCATCATATAGAGCTGGTCTTCTTTGTTCTCGATCCATGGCATGAACTCTTTTCTAACTTACGACTAAATTGAGTTTCCATGCAAGGAAAGCGGTGGTCGAACCAGTCTAGAATAATGAGACTACCAATGTATCAAGTAGGCACCATTTTCCGTATATCAGAATGTGGTTTCTGCAGGAGTCGTGCCGTTAGGAGACTCAGATCTTCAGTGGCGACTTTCTTTTCCCTGGAATAAAGGAGTTTCCATGGAAAAGGGATGCTGCAACTAGGAGTCTTATATGATGATTTCCATTCACATTTATTTCTCCCAGTCCAAGTTTTCCTATGTCACCGATATTTCATGACGGTACCTTTCTTCGGCGAGTGACAAGGGTCCTGTTGTTTAGCTGGCGTGTACGTCGGTTTTCTTGCTTTTTGTTTCTTGTTTCTTGTAGGCTGATCGCATGGAATTTTATGGGATCTACGGCTTCAAGTGCGGCATGAAGATAGTCGTCTGAGGAGAGTGTCCTTGTATTAAACGTGCACAGCAAGAAACAATCTCCATGGCGTGTTGTGTAGGCTTTCGTCATATCCGCTTTCAGTGCCGTACTGTTTTTTTCACCTCTGACCAGTTGTTTCACCTCTTGACGTCATAGGCCAGAGTCTTCAGTGTGTGGGGTACAGAGGCTGGTTTATGGTTTCCTGGACAGTTTAATCTTCTTTGGAGGTTTCAGTTAACCTTGCGAGGTGTTTTCATGTCTTCACCACGATGTGGACCAGAGGGAAGTATCCTTTCGGTAACGATTTTTTCGTTCAATCTTCGTATTAGTTGATTCGGACGCGATATTAAAACCGAAAGCAAAAAGGAAAGTAGGAATAGAAAATCACCGACCGCTAAGGAATGATGTAGAAGCCGAACTGAATATCTTTGTTTTTCGTTCAGTTCGTGTGACACACAACCATTTGTTCATGCTTGAAAAATGAGACTTCGCTTTGAGACATCATTTCAGTTGGCTTAAAAGCGAAACTCACGCTGAAATGTTGCCGTTATTCTTCATTTTAAATATTAGGATCTCTGCTGTAAACTTGAACTATGGGATGAAGTTGCCATCCACTTCCAGCTTTAGCGCTCTCCCTGCTGTTGTAATTTTTAAATTTTCGTTTTGGAATCGTGTTGTATTTAAACAGAAGAGTAATTCTCAGTTCCATTTTCTCGATAACCTAGATTGCTAAAGTTGGTAACTTCATACAGTTAAAGGACAAAAACGGTAAAACTTTTGGCATTCATCAATCCTTGAGCGAGGCGCCATGCATTTGACTTGGGCATCGTTCGAGGTGATTGAATGCATATCTGCTCTTTAGAATAACTCGCAGTGGCCTACCAATATATCGAGTCAGTGTAACTATCTTCCCAGACAGCTCTGTTACCAATTTGTCGATCCCGGAGGGATGGAAGGCTTGATGAGCTTGAGACGCCAGATTGAATCCATGTGTACAGTAGGACGCCTCTAATCAATGCTCTACACACACAAGAGGACATTACTACCTGAGAGAAGCGCAAGGCGAGTTCCTCCGTGGTGCAGAGTGTAAGGTGCGAGCCCGCGAAAAGGGTAGTCGTGGTTCGATCTAGCCCAAGGTCCAAGTTTTGCAAATATCTCGTCATCGTTGTGAGTGTAGTTCTGGTAATATCCAATTTTTTAAAATTTGTAAACTAATGACACAATCCGAAAACATAAAACGGTCCTTTGCGTTTGCCGGGAACAAAATATCCATATTCATTCACGTCACAGCTAAAAATACTAGTTACAACTTTTAGAAAAGCGAGAAGGAAACGATTTATGTCATCTAAGGTGTCAGGATTTTGTCGTAATAAACGGATATAGGTTTTGTTGATAAGAATCTGATGATCTTTATTGTTTTTAAATCAATAGATGAGGCCCACCATCAACTTACATACTGTTTACGGTTAAAAAGCTTAACTGTTTTCAGATATGTATAAGTACATATCGGTCACTGTGTGTTAACACGATCATATTTAACAAACGTTTTCTGACGTTTCTTACTACTGTCTCAATGCTAAAACCTAAATAGCATGGATTGGGAGGGATAAACGATAAGTGGCAAAGTTGTGTTGTTGAAGCATGTCCTCATTGCGGGAAGTTTGGGTTCCGCTTAATTTAAAGGTATTTAGTTTTTCATCTTTAAGTGCTTCTACATCGGAGCTCTTCCCGAGTCAGCAACATCGATTATGGGTGATGTGTCAAAGCAGCTGTCGTGGTCCATGCCTCCAGAAAAAGTTTGTGATAAATTGAAATCCAAGGACGCACAAATTTGCGAACTCAAGTATGGTTAGTTTATTTTTGCAACAGGTATAATTCTCTTCCTGTGCAATTCTTTTCTTTTTTGCATAAAGCAGTAGGCTTATTAAAATATTGTGTTCTTATGATTATCGCGTGGTGCCAATTTCGCAATCTTTGACTTTTATATAACGAAAGTTTTCAGATAAACCATTGGATTGGAGTAAAATTGACTTGAAGAAAATGCGTGTTAAGGAATTGAAGAATATTCTTAACGAATGGGGAGAGGTGGGCTGACTTCGTTCAAATTGAGGTTGACGATAGAATAAATGTAGTTAGTAGTTGTCGGCAATTTCTCAGTACCTATTATTTCGCAAGTACAAAAATACCAGTAGCCAGGTTGGAACTTGAATGCACTAGTAAAGCTTACCATTATGAAAACTTTACATTACGTAATCAGTTGTGGTTTGTTTGCTAATTACTATCCATTCCTAGGTTTTCATATTTGTACAGCACTACCTAGGAGTTTCCTCACGAAAGATCTGCTGAAGCTTCATTTTTGTCAATTCACTGTTTTGTACACTGTCAGGGCCTAGTTTTTGTCGTGTATTAGATTGTATCTGGGATATAGATCACTTAACTACGCGAAATACAACAGAGTGGAGCAATGTTAAATTCCATGTCATCAGCTGTTGATATTGTTGAGTTGGAGTTAATAGTACGGATTTTCAAGGGGAGATGCTGCTGAAAAGACTTCGAATCAGTGCCAAACACAGTTAGCAAGTTCAAGCAGCTTCTGATTAATACACGATATTTTCAGCAATATCCGGTGCTGGGCGCATCTTGTGAATCATCATGGTCATTTTCGGGGCGGTGGATGAGAATCTCCATCATTACCGACAAATGACTGTTCTAAAGACAGCTTTAAAAAGGCTAAAAGAAATGTCGTCGACATCCTCAGATCCACGTATGTGCTAAAGCGAACCATTAAAACTAGAGGAACACCAGGAAACTTATTTCTGTAGAAGTTCGAGCTACAATTTGAAACTCAATTTGGAATTACAGCTTCTCGACGAGGCAATATTTCTGGTTGAGCCTTACGAGCTGTCGGCCAACTCTACACACAGAACGCGTGGGTCATATCTGCAAAAATGGAGCACACGTCTAACCAATGGAGGTCGTCCCAGATTGTTTTTTTTTGCACGAAAGAGATGACCTTTGTGTTTATCGATTGATCAGTTTACTAAGGGTGCTCTATAAGCTTTTAACGAAGGTCATGATAAACCTCATCTCCAAGAGCGTGTGTGATGTCGAATCTACAGAGCAAGCCGTAGGAGGTGCAACTGCATTGGTCATATCAAAACACTCTTGATGGCTATAGGTTTCTACCTGAATACCATCAATCTCTTGTGCTAATCTTCGTTTACTCTGAGAAAACATTCCATAATAAGGAGACCAACGCTACCATTTCTAGCTTGACTGACCCAAGTGTAGACGCGCGCCCACATGAAAACGCTTGCCAGCTGTACTAGTCATTATATAACGACTATATAGCTTTCTCACTGAACGTTCACTGTTCCATCTGGTGCATAGATATGACCAGCAACACACCGTCGCCAATACTAGTCATCGCCGCGCTACAGTGTGCAATCTCTCGAATGTGAGAACAGTGATGAGTGTCGAATGGCAGTTCTCTCCCCAACAATATCTCAGAAGCGAAGGCGTTGCTTATTGAGTTCATTAAAACAAGAAAAAAAAATCAGATTACGAATGAATAGGACCACAATCTAACTCAGGAAGAAAGAGGAAACATTGGATAAATTTCCTACTGAAGACCACATTCTTCGTTTATCCTGGAAACTCAGTTAATAAGAATAGCATGTGTCACTCTTAAATTGTCGATAGACGCCAGTGACTGTCAGCTTACTCATCCCAATTTACGTGCTCAGCTATTTGACGCTGCATTTCTTTCATCTGTGAGCTGCGCATCGAAAACGTGGGCTGGCAATTGAGCCATGTCGAAGAAGCAACACACAGGGTACTCGGCGACCTTCTCTCAAGATAAACTGGTCCACTGAAAGCCAAGGTGGTTTTCTTAATTCACATTTTAGAGCAACGTCTTGTCTTCAAGTCCCAGCAGGATACGCCACAAGAAATGAACATCAAGGGGCCGAAAAGAGAAGATGACAGGTGAATAAAAAGAACAAAATTGAATATTGAAAAAATGTAAACGATTTGGAGGAAAAGTGCCAGGAAGATGTGCCGAATTATTCGTTAGACGTGTTTATCTGAATTTGCACATGGAATAAGGTTCCATATCCTTAAATCGCAACTGCAACAACACGCGAATACGACCACCTCCGTCTGTGGCACTTGCAAGAAAACTAGACGAATGGAAGCACTGGGATTCCCACGTGATGTGAAGATGGGTCATCAACTTAAATCAAGTTTCTCTAGTTGCACAGATAAGGAATTGCTGCAACAATATGTATAAATTAGAAGATAAATGAAGAATCATTTGGTTTTGATCAGTTTTTGAAGGATATGTCATGTTATTCGACTTCATCAACCATTTTGGTAATGAAAAATTCGCATCTGGCCTGCACAATGAATGATGGTAGCCTTCATATATGTCAAGGCAGCATGTTTGCCCTACTAGACAAGTCTGCTACCAATTTTCCGATCCCAGAAGGTTGGAAGGCTTGCTGAGTCTGGGGCATCGGATCAAACCAGCGACCGATCCTTTGTTTTTCATTGTTATTTAAGTGAGATGTTAATACAGTAAACCATTTCTGGGTTCTCTAAAAGGATAACACTGAGGTTGCGCTTGGCTTTCTTTGTTAAATACGTGCGTGTGTATTTTTTCGTAAGAGCTCTACAGGTAGTCCAAAAAATTGGCGAGATCTAGTTTACGGCTTCGGAAATCATTGTTTTATTGCATTAACAATTGCTAATTTGTTTGTAAACATACTTTTTGACGTTCAACAAATTGGTCACACTGTTTCATTGTGTAATTGAAAAACGCACGCTTGTTAGATTCCTGAAAACTACTCCCTTGTCAGAGAAGTTTTGTAGACTTTCCTGCAAGCCTGTAGGTGTACAATTATTAAATAAAACATGATTTTGATGTTTAAAAGACAAAAACTAGAAATCAACGTTACAGCCCATAAGTTGACCTTTACAGGATTGCAAAGGATGTACTGAGAAATCTGAATTCGTCAAGAGGATCGAGGAGTTGAAGCCAAAATATGTGAAGGAAGAGCTGTAGATATGGTATCTCTCTCTCAAGTGTTTTACCGTGCCGTTGTTTCCAATGATTTGTGTATCTTCTGGGTATCAATTGCATCTCATGCGAAGCGCCTTTTCTCTGCTCTGAGATGAGAGCCTGTCTGCGGAATACCAAATCTGTTGCGATAGGATTGAGCGTTGGGTATTTTCACAAATAGGGACTATTTATTGGTTTCATTTTGTGCTGTAATAGTGTATTGACACTATGTCGTTATTCCGCAAATTGCTGTTGCACTTGGTGACTGTTCATGTATGAATAAATTTATGTTTCTCTGGATTCTATACTATCTCGGGTTTTAACCTAATGTAATGGCGTAACGCTTCTGACTGTTAGTGTCAAACAGAGGTTTATGAGCTGAGATCACCATATCCATCTTTAATCCTAACTAGGAGTGCACCTACTTTGATGACTGTCTCGTCGAGATCCTGGAAGGGTTGCTGGTTGCTAAATGCAAACCTACTATCTGTTTACGAAAGCTAACAGCTACATATGAAAACAGTTCGAAAACTTCCACAACAACTCTCACAGAAGTCCCAAAAAAAGAGACATCCTAACTGCGTCGCACTAGTTAGATAGAGACAGACGTGGGGCCTACACGAATTCTGAAGACAAATCAAGTATTCAGGTGTTCGAGAAAGGGCTTCACTTTCGTCTGAAGTACGTCTTCCGATTTTCTACACGATAAAAGACGTTAGTGCGCTTATTGTTAACTCTTTGCAAGTACTATTTGGCAGAGACATCAAAGACTTCTTTAATTCTTTATAAATACAAGATGGACTTAATGGTGAAAGGAACGTATTTAATGAGAAGTACTTATGTAGTATGGTATCTTGGTGTTTTACACTGGTACCATCCGCAACACGTGTCTTCCGTCGATCTTTATGTCACTCGAGCGGGCGCCATTAAATCCTCCATTGCTTCGAGTCGCTCGCAAGATCATCCTATAGCGCTGGGTGGCATTAGGGACTCGTTGAGTTTCATATCGTTTTTTTAGAATTTCGTTAAATACGTCTGACCATCCACTCAGTAGTCTTTCTACAGTACTTTTGACATACCGAGGCATGTAGTCACTAACGGCTCCTGTCCATCGGCTGTCGTTAATACAGATTACGTGTTTGAGGTACCTTACCTTCGACAGTTTGGCGCATATAACACCGTCCACAGTTTTTGATCATTTGCGTAGGTCGCAGCTTTCTATTCCTTCCCTTATATTAGTGACTCCTCTCGACCGCTCATTAATAACGCTGAGTGATTTGTCATCCTGTTTACGCAGCGACCAGGTTTCTGACACATACTTTAACGCAGGAAGTACTGTTGAGTTAAAAACGTCGTCATAGAGTCGGGTGTTCTTTGTTCTCTTCACCACATCCACGATGCTCTTGAAAGCTCCCCAAGCCGCTCGTTTCCTTCTGCTTAGTTCTGGTGCTAGGTCGTTCATCATGTTGATTTCCTGACCTAGATAGATATAACTGTAGCATTCGTAGATATTCGATCCGTTCAGAGTGAATGGGGCATGAGTAAGCAATTCGTTCTTCATGAACGTCGTTTTTGTGAGAAAGTCGGCAAGCATTCGCTCCGCTTGGCTAATGTTTGATGTTTAAGGACGATGTCATCAGCAATGCGAAGATGGTGTAATTGCCGAAGATTGATTTTCACTCCCATGTTGTCCCATTCCAATGTTCGCATGACGTTCTCGAGGGTGGTGGTAAATAATTTTAGCGAGATGGTGTCGCCTTGCATAACCCTCCTTTTGACGTCGATGTTAATATCGTTGTAGAATGGTGATACCTTGGTTATGAAATTTTTACAACGCTCACAGAGAATCTTCGTCTGCTGAGTAGGACCGGCTTGATCGTCCAGGGTTTCTATAACTGGAGTCTTTTATACTCTTGCGATACTTCAATTAGTCTTGTTATCCGTGAATGTGAATGATCCGAATGTACGTGAATGTGATCCGTCGTTCAGAACTCTTTTTGAAATCCTGCTTGCTCACATGGCTGTCCTCCATCTAGTGTTCTGTCAATCCTGTTTAGGATGACTCTAGTGAAAACTTTATAGACGACAGACACAGCGAGCAGATTGGGCGATACTTGCCGTTATCGTGGAGTTCACCTTTCCTGAACAGTATCACGCTCTTTCTGGTCTTAAATTGAATAGGGATCTTGCACTCAGGGTTCTTCAGGTGTTCTCGTCTTATCGTGTCTGGACCTGGTGCTGTGCGATTTTTAACCAACAAAACAGCATGTCGGATTTCAAAAGGGAAAACCGTTGGTACGACATATCCATTCTCCTTTATTTCATATGAGGGGAGGAGGACGTGGCAATCGAAGAGGTCTAAGTAGTACTCGTGAATGATTTTCTCCATTACCTTTCTGGACGCTGTAACTCTTTCGTCTGAGCGTCGGAGTGCAAACATTTTGGTCTCGTAATTGGCAAACCTTTGATGAGCTTTGCGAATGGTTTTCCCAGTTTCTGCCACTTCGGCCATAACTGCTGATCTTCTCACTTTAAGATCTTCTTTTTCGCCTGTCGCTATTGTTTTGCAAGTTCGTTCGCGGTTGCCTGCAGCTGGAGCGATTCCACGCTGGCGTATCAGCTCAAGAGTTTCTGGAGACAGACGTCTCTTGGTGACTTTCGAACTCTGAGCCTTCATAGCGCTAGCGTGAAAATGTTGAATGAGCCGATCGTATTCTTTATCGATGTTATCGACAACGGTATCTTCCCAACAGCCGACTAATGAATTGAATAAGTCGCAATTCATAGTGGTTTTCGGACTTCGGTCTTTGAATTTAGCCGTTTTTCTCCTTTCCGCGAGGAATAGAATTTTGCACAAAGGGTGCTATTGATGTTCTAACGCCATGTAGAATTTTGGAACAACAGCGGCATCAGTTGGGCAGAGCCTTCGATTTACTATAATGTGGTTTATTTCGTTATGGTGCTCTCCACTAGGAGATTCCCACGTCCAGCGTGGATGGTGAAGCTTCTGGAATTGCGAGTCCATGGATGGCCTTGGTCGTCATGATAAACTCGGACATTCGCTCACCTACTCGTTCCATTCTAAGCTGTGGGTCTCAATCAATGCGACGTTCTTCTGACATTCTTCTTGATCCAGTGTTAGCGTTGAAATCTCCAATGATGACCTTAAAGAATGTAAGGTCTACTCTTTAGCACTTCTTCAAGTCCATTCAGAAAAACTCCACTTGGTCTTTGTCAAAGCTTGGTGTCAATGCGTGAACGACAATAATTGTCGATGCCGGTATTGCTTCACATCTCTTCAATCGTTAATGTCCGATTCACGTTGTTAGTTGTTCGAATGGATTGATGTTCATCGACAAACTCGTGTTGACGAGAGCGCCGACGCCGCCGACTCCTCTATTGTCGCACTTTCTGAGGAACAATTCTTCTCCGGTGTCATAGACGGCGTTGAAAGGCTGGCGTCTTCTCGTCTCGGCAGGGCCGATGACGTCGTACTTTATCCTTCTTTGCTTGCATGAGCAAGTCTTCTATCGAGGACTGGGATGCAAGTGTACGTGCATTGTAGGTACAGATCATCACCATAGTTCTTTGAAGTTCAGGTAGCTTCCATTGGCCCTGAGATTTTAGCAGCCTCTCCGCACTCGTCCTACCTAACTGCGAAATTGAGGGCTCTTTCGGGGTCAGGGGAATGAGCCCCGTTTTTTTTTAGTGTGTTTAGCATTTGGATACACACGGATAGCTTGCTGTGCTCTGAACATGGTACTCATGTGTTCTTCCAAAGTGGACATGGAGCTTATTTGTTGGAGGCTACTCCTAACCGCCTCCCATATACTTCCAGTCGATTGCAGGCTGTTGGCTGAACTGACTTGTAGGATACAATCCGCATAAGCGAGAACGCACCCACACATGCATGCATGAATACGCCTAGTAAATACAGAAAGTATGCGCCATATCGACATAGCAGAAATAGGGAGTCCATCCCCTGGATCCACCTGCGTCTCAGGGAAGCAAAGGTCGCTTTTGGTTCGCGATTAATCCCTTATCCGCCACGTGGGAACGCGCCACATAGCCTCGCAACTAGCCGGCTGGAGACCCCTCATATGAGGGATTTCCGTGGATCGAATGTGTGGTTTAATGAATTTGTGCTGACCGCCATATCGTCTCTTATCTGTAATTGCTCAATTCGAGAAAACACCAGCTATGTTCGGCATCATTCTTAGATACGTTGTACAGCAGGATCCAGTCTCTGGCAAAGCCATTGAAGCTGAAAATGAGTTCGAATTTTTCGTCGGCAAGCTATCAGTACAGATACCTGGGCACTCCTGTGATGACCTACTCGCAGGGTGCCATATTTCGCAACGAAAAACATCGTGACCTAATTGGGTTAGTTAGTGACGACAACATGACTTCCTTTTTCGGTCTGCAAGTAGAAAAACCTTTCCAAATTATTAGCACGCAAGCTATGTGGAGAATGTTATGGATTTCCCACTAAGCGCCTAACGTCGCAGCAATAACGTGCTCCAATGTCTCTTTAAGGACCCATCGATGATATTACTGTAGCGAGTATCCTTTACGTCTGAGGTCATCTGCTGCCTGCGATGTTGCCTCCGTTCTCTCCAAGATTTTTAGAAAAGGTTTTGCCATAATTCATACCATCCTTCTTCACCAGAATTTAGGATCAGTGGATAAGGATCTACACAGAACATGGCAGGTGCCTTACCGCGACGAATTATCAAGGAAACGCAAAGGCTAATGGCTGATCCAGTGCCTGGTATCTCAGCGAGTCCCGATGACAACAATGCCCGGTTTGTTCATCACATATTGTCGAATTATTTGAGGAAGTTAAATGCAATAGGCATGTGCTAATTGTCAGATACTTTCACGTGATGATTGCTGGACCTCAAGACTCTCCGTTTGCTGGCGGCGTGTTCAAATTGGAGCTGTTTCTACCGGAGGAGTATCCAATGGCCGCTCCAAAAGTGCTGTATCTTTCTTGAGTAGTAGTTGGTGACATCACAATGCGTTATTATAGTGAGGTTAACGTAAAGGATTTACGAACTAGTTACCAGATAGTAGTTTGTCCTTTTGTGGCATAGAAGGCTAAAAATTCATTCTGTTATTGTTTTATGAATATCGTTGTATCGTGAAAGGATTAATGCATGTCTTCTTTATTCATATAGCAAGATATATGAGTTGTTGACGTAATTGACTTGATTCGTTCATTTAAGGTACGATTTATGACCAAGATTTACCATCCGAATATTGACAAGCTAGGAAGAATCTGTTTGGATATTCTAAAAGGTTGTCCTGCTTTCCACTTTTATGTTTCCACTATATTTATTCAAACATTTTGTTGAGAAGATTAGCGTCTTTCACAAAGTGCAACTCATAAGGTCTTCTAATCGGAGTTAGAAAGTAGTCTGTCGTATATAACCACTGTCAGAGACGCAATGGTGACGATAGGTAGTAAACCCTAACCTTGATTGTTACTGTACTGTTCGAATGTCTTCTCCTATATCAGCAGTATCCTACTTATCCTGTTTTGACACCTAAGGGAATCATAAAATGGTTACTTCACTGTTCGATTGTCCCATCATATGTCTACGATATCCTATTTGACACATAAGAGAATTAGAAAGTGCGTAGTCTTTTCTAAATTCGAGCAATCTCTAGTCTCGAATTTTACGCCTGATTGCAAAACATTGTAGATAAGTGGTCTCCTGCTCTGCAAATTCGTACTGTTCTCTTGTCAATCCAGGCTCTCTTATCAGCACCAAATCCTGAGGTGGGTTCGAATATTACTTTTATTGTCAATTACTACTGAATTAATATTACTGTTAATTTTTCTGACGAAGACCTTGAGCGCGGGGAAATGAAGACTCAGTTGGTCCATGAAGAACACGTAAAGGGTTGCTTTTATTTTCATATTGTGCTTAATGACTTTATGGTTCCAATTCCAAATTCGATCAGGTTTTCCTTGACTTTCAAATTAGCTTGTTATAAAACTGTAAAAGATGAAGCTCTTGGTGCTGATCAATACCGACGAATACGCCAGGTATTTGACTTCGCTAAGCATCGATGGAGATGACTGAATTCATGGTATGGCCTTTACAAGGACCCACGGTGGCCTACCGATGTATCCAGCCAATGTTGCTATCCTCCCAGACAAGTCTGGTAGCAATTTGCTAATCCCGGAGGGATGGAAGACTTGGTTGACCGGGAGCACGGGGATCGATCTCATGTGTATTGCAAGGTGCCTCCGACCATTGGACTACGTATGCCCTTCATCGTTTGTATATTCATCTTGTTATTGTAAAATATATATATATATATATATATATATATATAAAACGTTAAGGATCCACTAGCCACTGATGTGGCTGAGCAATGGAAAACGAATGAATCCGAAGCGATTCGTACAGCGAAGGAATGGACTCTGCAGTACGCACGAGAGTAATACCGTAACACATTGATAGCTGGGAGTGCATATTCATCAATTCATGGTATATTCGTGAATTTACCGAGAGTTAATTGTGAATTCACATTTGCTCGTACTATTACTGAATGATGTCATTTTTCTTGCTATGATATACAATAGTGTTGGGCTGGTAGAAAACACACTTATCGTTTCATCATTTGTGTATATGGTCTTCGTTTGAGACAATTACTGAGCATATCTCCTCTCCTCTAACTTCTTTTTTTGACGCTCCTCTTCCAAAAGGTTTCTTTTGCTACACAATCGATTTTCGTTTTATCGTATTCATTCTTCTTTTTGACGCCATATAAGTATGCTTTGACTTATTTTCGTCACATTAGTGGTGTTTTTCTCATTTCTTTTAACTGGTCAATTACTTAAGATTGTCCAAGTATGGATGAGATGTGATTGAAAATGAATGAGTTTAGTGATCCCGGACTGCTTTTTTTCAGGAACAAGTGGAATTCAGTAGAGCGGTTTCAGTTTCCTTCGTATTGGTGTAGTGTTTGCTTGCGGCGGTTGAGGATTTTCCGGATGTGTTGTCCAGTTTTGTAATGTATGGCATGCTCATGTGAAGGAACTAAGGAAAATTAGGGTATATTTGAGGAGATGATTCCTATGATCTTGTATTGCTACGTTTTATCAATCTATTTGCGATAGTAAGGTGCCACATTTTCCTCCGGCAAGAAGGGTGGTCGTGAGTGTTCCCGAAAGTAATCGATTGAGGTTCACTAGCCAACACCTGTTGAGTTGAATGCTTTCGATTTTCTAAGTTTCGTTTCTGTGCTAGGAGTGATTCCAATTGTCATTAGTTATGTAACACAGTGTAACAGGTGGGGGATTGTCCACAAGGTGCTAGTTGTGCACGTATTGCTTATGATGAACTTGTAAGTCAAGTTCGTTCCAAGTTATGTTGCGTCCCTATGATTAATTTTATCTTAACACTCTTGATACCCATCGATCAGTTAGCGTTATCTAGCGGCTTTTTATTGATGGTACTAGTTTCGGTATGCGAAGTCCACTGAGTGACCTTATTCATCTCGTTTGACGCTCGTTTTTCTTTTCCTCTGACGTTGGATTTCAGACTATCGACTTTCTCGTACGTAGACAGCATTTCCATCGAAGTATAAACGTATTCCGACAGTATCTTAGTGATACTCATGTTTACGATGTGTTATGAGTAATAAAGAGCTGTACATATACTTGATTTTATCTCTGAATCCAGTCGTTGTGAGACGTTCACATCCGTTTATTGTTTGTTTGTGTTCTTTTGCTCTGAACTTCCCTGTTCCTCAGTACCGAAAACATGCATTTTAGACAAAATGACCCTTCAGTGGTCAATTGTAGCCGCAGTATTGTACGTGGAGATCGTGGTGACATTCATCCTTCTCTTGCCGTGGATTCGCCCTACACTGTACAGTCCATCGTTTTCCTACTTTACATTTTGTATTGGACGCTAGATCGTAGAAACAATTACTTACTATGCTTCAGGTGGAGTAAGTTGTTTAAAAGCCGTCTCGTCTCGTCATTAGCAGCTCATGGTCAAATCTACTCATATTCCGCAGCATTTGTGCTTTTTGTGCTATTTGCTGGTAAGCTTTGATGTGGTAATATCAGTAACAGAAATAACATGAGATCAGTGGTATGGAATCGGTAACCGGCCATTGTGCACTTAATGTAGTTGTCCTTGATGTGGTTCTGTGTATGAGGAAGAATGGTAGTAAACTAGTGCGTAAACAAAGACGACAAGAAAAGAATTTTCCAAGATTGTAATTTTGTTCAAGATTCTGTTCGCGAGGTTAAGAAGTACTCGCATGTGGAAGTAGCTATGGAGTCGTCAGTAATACATCGTGTTGCCGATACCGATGCAATCATTCACATGCGTTTGTTTCGTGCGCAACGCAACTTCTACATTTCTGGTTTCGCTCTATTGCTTTTCCTGTACATTTTTCTTCGGTAATGGTATGTCATTGTTATTATGGCATTTCGCAACATTTTTTAAGCGTCATCAAGCGTATCATGGGGCTTATCAGTCGTGGAGCTCAACTTGAGGCTGCTAGTGAGGCAGCTATGCGACAAGCTGAAAGTGCCACAAAAGCAGCCAAGACCCTAATGAACGCCGTAAGTGTTAAGAGGTTTCTTGGTTATGGCTAATGTCTTTGTTTACCACTGTTTTCAGAGTGGTGATTCAGAAGTTGCAGAATTAAATCGCAAAATTGAAGAACTAGGCACTGAGCTAAAGAAGGCTCAGACAGATCGTGATACGTTGCTCAAGCAGGCGGAATCACTGCAAACTGAATATGATCGCGTGTCGGATTTACTCGTGAAGTTTGAGGTATTCTTTTTCCATGGGTCGGCTCTTTGACTTTGATTCTAATAAATTGGATTCTAATGGCTTGTATGGGGGCGCGTGTAGCGCAGTGGTCGGAGGCGCTCTGCCATACACATAGGTACGATACCTCTGCTCCAGGATTGCCAAGCTCTCTATTTCTCCGAGGTCGGCAAATTGGTGCCAGACTTGTCCGGGAGGGTGGCAGCGCTGAATTTATACATCGGTAGGCCACTGCTATTTGTAAAGGCCAAATATACATTCACTTACCTCCAAACGATGCTTAATGAAGTGGAATGCATGGCTAATCCCTCAGGGATTAGTCAACGCCGAGAGCTTTGTCCTTTCTACCTTCTTTATCGTTGTTTCTGAGTTACTAATGCATCACCCGTATCGCCTGTAGTCCCGTTGATCGTCGAGTGACTCAAGCGGGCGCTAGTAATTCTTCCATTTTCCCGTGTCGGGTGCAAGATTAACCCAGTGGGTTCTGCTCGCTCTAGGGACTCGTTGAGCGTCATGCCTTCTTCTAGGCTTTTCATGAAGAACTTTGACCATCGGGTCGGTGATCTACGTGCAGTGCGTTTAACATCCCGAGGAATCCAGCCATTAACGACTCTTGTGCATCTGTTGTCATTCATATGTATTAAGTGTTGGGCCCACCTTATCTTCGACTGTTTGGCGTATAGGACGGCATCTTTGTTTTTTGATCGCTGACGTAGGTTGGAGCCCTCGGAGTCCCTTCCCTTACTAGCGTTATACGGAATACTCTTAGCGTCGTCCTTTCGACTGCGCGTTCAATAATGCTGTGTGAATTATCATCTTGTTTACGCGGCGATCAGGTTTCTGACGCATACGTTAACACAGGAATTACCGTTGAGTCGAAAAAGTGAGCACGGAGTTGGGTGTTCTTTGTTCTTCTCTCCTCGATGCTTTTGAAAGCTGCCCAAGTCGCTCTTTCCTTCTGCTTAACTCTGGAGCTAAGTCGTTCAACATGTTTGGTTTCCCGACTTAGATAGGCATAACTGAAACATTCGGAGATATTCATTCCGTTGAGTGTGAATGGGGCATGCGAAACCAATCCGTTCTTCATGAACATCGTTTTTGTGACATTTAGTCGAACACCAGTCTTTCCACAGGTTCTACCAAAGCCGGCAAGCATACGTTCCGCTTGGCTAATGTTTGGTGTTATAAGGACGATATCGTCAGCAAAGCGAAGATAGTATAACTGCCGACCATCGATTTTCACTCCCATATTATCCCATTGAAGTGTTCGCATGAGAGTCTGGACGGTAGTGGTAAATAATTTTGATGAGATGTCATCGCCTAGGATAAGCCCTCTTCTGACGTCAATGTTAATAACGTTGTAGAACGGTGATTTCTTGGTTGTGAAATTTTTGTACAGCTCTTAAAGAATCTTTATGTACTGAGTAGGGACTCTTTGACTATCAAGGGTTTCCAAGACTGCTTCTATCTCAACTGAATCGAAGGTTTTCTGCATATCCATGAAAGTGAGACAGAGCGGCCTTTTGTACTTTCGCGATACTTCAATGAGCCTTGTTATCGTGTGGATGTGGTCCATTGTACTAAATCCTTTTCGAAACCATGCTTGCTCACATGGCTGTTCTTCGTCCAGAGTTCCGTCAATACTGTTTAGGATGACTCGAGTGAAAGTTTGTAGACGACAAACAGTGAGCAGATTGGGCGATAATTGCCGATATCGTGTAGATCACCCTTGTTGAACAATAACACGGTCTTGCTGGTCTTCCATTGAGTAGGGACGTTGCATTCAGGCAGGTAACGTGTGAAAACAAAGCCAGTGTCTTTACAAGGACTTGTGGAAGGTTCTTCAGATGTTCTCATCTTTTCCTGTGCGGACCTGGTGCTGTTCGATTTTTTACCTACGAAATGGCACATCGGATTTAGGAAGGAAGAACCGGTGATACAGTGTATCCATCCTCCTTTATTTCATATGACGGAAGGTGGACGTGGCCATCGAAAAGATCTGTTTAGTATTCGTGAATAATTTTCTCCATTGCTTTTCTGGAAGCTGTAGCTGATCAGTCTGGGCGTCAGAGTGCAATCATCTTGGTTTTGTAACTGGCGAAGCCTTCGTAGACTTTGTGAACTCTTTTTCCAACCTCTACAACTTCGGCCATTATTGCTGCTCTTTTTTCTTTAAAATCTTCTTTTATCGCCTGTCGGCATTGCTTTTGCATGTTCGGATGTTAGTTCGCGGTTGCCTGCAGCTCGTGTGATTCCACGGTGGTGTATCAGCTCGAGAGTTTATGGAGACAGACGTCTCTTGGTGTCTTTCGAACTTTCAGCTTTGATAGCGCTAACGTGAAAATGATGAATGAGCCAATCGTATTCCTCGTCGATGTTAACGACAACGGCATCTTCTTAACAGCCGACTAATGAGTTGAACAAGCCCCAATTTATAGTGGTTTTGGAACTTCGATTTTGAATTTAGCTGCTTTTTCTCCTTTCTGCGAGAAATGGAATCTTGCACGAAGTAGGCGATGGTCTGATCGCGTGTAGAATTTTGGGACAACAGCGACGATTAGTTAGGCAAAACCTTCGGTTTACTATGATATGGTCTATTTCGTTGTGGTACTCTCCACTGGGAGACTCCCACGTCTAGCGTTGAGGATGGGGTTTCTGGAATTGCGAGGTACCATGGATGGTGTTGATCGTCATGATAAAGTTAGATAGCCGCTCACCCTGTTCGTTCCATTCTAATCCATGAGTCCCAATGCGACGTTCTTCGGGCGTTCTTCTTGGTCCAATCTTGGCGTTGAAATCTTCAATGATAACCTTGAAGAATGTGTGGTCTTCTCTATAGAACTCCAAGTCCATATAGAACGCTTCGACTTCTTCGCCATAGTTTGATGTCGGCGTGTAAACGACGAAGGTTGTCAAAGTCGTTATTGATCCACATCTTTTTAGTCGTAAACGTCTAATTCGCGTTGTGAGTTGTTCGAATGAATCGATGTTCATAGACAAACTCGTGTTGACGAAAACACCGACGCCGCCGACTCCTCAACTGTCGCTTGTTCCGAGGAACATTTCTTCTCCGGTGTCACTGACGGCGTTGAATGGGTCGCGTCATCTCGTCTGGGCCAGGCCGGTGACGTCGTACCTTATCCTTCTTGCTTGCATGAGCAAGTCTTCTATTGAGGACTCAAATGCAGGTGTGCGTGTATTGTAGGGGCACAGATCGTCGCCTTAGTTCTTTGCGATCCAGACAGCCTACATTGGCCCTGAGATTCCAGCGGCCTCTCCGTACTCTTCCTACCCAACGCTACCAAATTTGAAGCCCTTTCGAGATCAGGGAATGAGACCCGTTTCTTTTACCGTGTTTAGCATTTTGATATTTTGATAACCACGTATAGCTTGCTAGTCTTTGAACTGGGGGCTGGGTATACCCACGATTAGCTTGCCGGGCTGTCCCAGAGTGGACATGGAGCTTATTTGTTGGAGGCGACTCCTAACCGCCTTCCATATACTTCCCAGTCACTTGATTGCAGACTTTTGGCCGAATGGACTCGTAGAATACAATCGCCATAAGCGAAGACGCACCCACACACGCACGTATGAATACGCCTCTCAAATAAAGAGACTATGTGCCAAATCGGCGCAGCAGAAACGAGGGTCCATCCCCTGGATCCACCTGTCTCAGGGAATCATGCGGTCGCTTCTGGTCCGCGATTAACCTTTATCCACCACGTGGGGACGCGCCACATAACCTCGCGACTAGCCGGCTGGAGATCTCTCATATGGGGGACCTCCGTGAACTGATGCATAATGCATATTTCTGTTTATTTCAGAAAGGAGATAACGCGAGTAAAAAGGATGACTAGAGATCTTGTGATGAAGTGCCAAACTGTCTGATAAATGGCTTCTGTTACGGAGTATAGAATGTCTTATTTACTTGCTTAACTTCGAAACGAGACTTCTAAAGATGATGCATCAGTCATTGCTTTTTGGAAGTGTTTTACAACCATCAGCCTTCCACTGTTTAAATTGAACCAATAATTTGCTATTGGTTATTGTTGTCCTATAGGTCATTTAGATTTGTAACCACTCTGTTACTTCCATGTATTACAAATTTGTACAATTATTCTCACGTATGTAGTACATACAAAGACATCACAGAAATGTGAGCGTTGATTATAGATGTTAAGAAACGTTACGAATTATTGTTTCTAAAAGAGGATGAATAAAAAAAGGAGTGGGAACTATGCTGGAGCCCCCACAATCAGTGAAGGCGGGCTATCCAAGTGTCCAACACTAAATAACTTACTTGATACTTGAACGACCCGTCCTCATTAGTTGTGCGAGCCCAAGCATAATCACCATTTTTCGGAGTTTTACTGGCTAAGCCATTGCGGTTTCCGGGAATCCCGAGGACGGCCTGGCCAAAGTCCACGCCAGGTTGTTACCACGACAGGCAGCCCTTGTGTATCAGAAGGGGATTTGTCACCATGCGACTTTGATGCGAGGACGGTGATGGGTTGTGGTGTTGGTTTGCTCTTAGCTAGGCTTCCTGATGAAAATCCTCAACTTGGGAGACCCTGCTGAGGGGACGACTCCTTCCGCTGTGCATCGTAGTCCAACACCGAGGAACACCTCCCAGGTGCGATGAGGCGGCAAACCGTTGGTAGGGTCCAAGTAAGTAAAAGAAGATGAATAGTAGTCATAGATTGTAGCTGTGTTTCAAAGAAAATCGACTAGTCGACGGCGTTGGACTTGTACGTGGATGTGTATGTGTGATTATTGCGGGAACACTTAGCTCCAAGCTGCTTATTATGCTGCAAAACGCTGAGCATATAGGGGAACGTACTCCCGTACTTTATAGGATTGGTTTTAGAACTTCGGCTAGTCGTCGAAAGCTCTAAAGTACTTCTTCCATCATAACAATATCGACCGTATAGACTAAGTCAAAGGGAACTGTCTGAGAAGTATCAGAACTGTTACTAGTTTCAAACTTAAATGCAGACATTTTAGGTCTTAGAGTTATTTTTTGAAATGAAATAGAATCGGTAAATCATTATAAAGTAGACCCAGACTTCTTTTATTCCATAAATATGAAATCCTAACTTTCTACAACATATGACGCCTACCTCCACTTGGTTCTCGTCGAGGTCCTTAGCAATCAACACAGAAACCACCCATTAGCAGCAAATTAGTGATAAAAATGAAGATCTTACTGTGATCACTTCAATAACGACTTCGACAGATTACAAATGTCTGTGTTGTTTTGTAGAAATAAAATACAGACTGACTCCAACGATAACATGTTACTGACGTTGGTTATATCTCAGCATTTTACTCTATGTTCACGTTGGTAAATTTAGTAGGGAATTCCCCAAACAGTCCATAACTTAGATGTCCACTCCTCACGTGATGTGTACCGAGTCCCAGCAATTCTGCTCATGGATGTCGACGTATTCAGTATTCGGCAAACTTGTAAAGGACGATTACTGGCTCATGAGCGTCCGTAGAGTTACAAAGTTTGTTACCTTGCACGAAAAACCACGAAGAGGGAAGGAATTCTTACCAACAATACACTTCCTCATAGTACAAATCAACTGCTTTTACTTTCCTTACTACTATACGACATGATATCGAACATTTTCTCTACAGCGCTTTTTGGATCTGTTTCCTCGCGTCCGTATTCCATCCAGAAAAACCTTCGGACTTTCACGAATGAGTTTTACCGTTGTTTAATGACTTCTTCTTTATGCATGTCGTTGAGTACTTGTCGACTGGACTCTTCCTAAAATCGTTGCATTGGGTTGCTAGAGTAGTTCCTGGGTCTTCGTCACAGGTGTTCGCCAGCTTTTGTGAATTGGATGTAGTTAACCTCGTACTACTCCGGTATGAACTTCCCGAACTCGGAGCCATGAAGGACTTGATTGATCCTGCCACTTGCGAACCAGGGTCTTGAGTGCATTGAACGGCACCACTACCACTGGCCTATTCGTGTCCATCAGGCGTTTTGGAAAATGCTAATTACAACTTTGTGCATAGAATGAACTTTACTCCGAGACGAATTTAATGCAGAAAAAACGCCTTCAGAAGTGTTCAAAGCAGTAAACCGAAATGGACAACACCTAGGACCACGTTTTATTGAAGAAAAGACAATTTTATTATCAAAGAAAAAAACATATGTACATGTTCCACACTAGAAAATTGGGCTGATAAACTGACATGCAGACTGACAAGTTGGACTGATGATAAGAAGAATGCGTTTTCTTTGGGAACAATAAACTTATACTGGACTGGAGTTCTTTATAACGTCACCAATAAGTATGAAACAAACACAAAAACTAGCTTCTTAATCGCATGAGAACAAAATTTGAGATGATAACCGTGAAATTTTGCAGTTTAGATACGATGATTCAAGAATAGATGAAAAACACCTTCCTAATGCATTGGGATTTAATGGTTGCGCTAAATGTAAGATTAGAACTCTTGCTAGCATCTGATTAGGTTACCTGTTACTGCAGCAGACGTTATGCCTAGATGTCTAATGAACGTTATTAACGACACCATAGGGGGTCGCATTTTCCGTAACTTCATAATTCCATGCCTTGAGCTTCATCTTCTGAAAAGTCCGACATGCTCGAGATATCCGAGTCATCACCAGGCTTCTCTGTCCTATAGTCCGGTTTGGAGGATGCTTCGTTGAAGAATCGGCGTAACGCATCTTCGGACGCAAATCGTTCTACATAGTCTACAATGACCGTTAATTTATATGCCAAACCTGTGTATCGGGTTCTCTTCAATTATTTATAACATTGATTTTCAAAACAAAGATAGATTTTTGCGAAATCGATTTCCCTGAGATGCTTCCTTTTACTAAGGAAATGTTCCAGTATTAACAGGTTTCAAACAATTCTCACAGAACTGTCTATATGAAAACATTTGGTCCAGTAGCATTTCGCTGTTGGTTATAGACCCAGAGATTTTCATAAAGGGAAATCTGGTTCCAGAATACAAGCTATAGTAAAAGAACAAGTTATCCTACTATAGCGTCTTCATGAACTAATTTTGTAGAGCATTTGCATGTTGCAGAGTATCGCCAATTTTCTCAGTTCTCTCAAAAAATGCAGGAATACGATATTCGAAGTCCATGGAAAAAAGGTCGTCGAGTAAAAAAAACGGCACAATAATAACCCCCTGCTGAGCTAGAGTTCGTTCTTGTATTATAAATTACGTGTTAACATTCCATTAGCTTTACCTCATTCCATTTTCCTGAAACCAACAAATATGGATGCCTATTTCCTATTTAGTAGACTTATACCCTTGCACTTCTTCTTGAACTCCTCAGGTTTATGCAGGTAAAGAGCAGCGGCATCACCATTCAGAGGATCTGTAGGGTTTGGATAAGTGAGAAGCTGCGGAAGAAATGACTCAAATATATTTGCTAGATCATACAACGCGGTCCATGCCTGAAAGACAATGAATGAAAGCTCGTCATAAACACTGAAGTAGAGGTTTAAAGCAGTGGCTATAGTTGCAGTACGATAAATTTATTATATAATCACACAAAGATGTAACCAGAAAACGATAGCGAGAAGATATTTGTGGAAAAAAGTCATTATACCATAAAGCAAAGCAAAAAGTCGCCCCCTGACAACTAAAAAAAGTGGATAAAACGGTAAAGCTCTCACTGTTGATCAACCCTTGAGAGACGCGCCATGTATTCGATTTCATTAAACATCATTGGAGGTGACTGAATGCAAATCTGGCCTTTACAATGACTCGCGGTAGCCTATCGATGTGTCCAACCAATGTTGCTATCCTCCCAGACAAGTCTGGTACCAATCTGCCAACACCGGAAGGATGGGAGGCTTGGTGAGCCTGGGACCCGGCGATAAATTCCATCTGTACTGCAGGGCTCCTCCCACCATTGAGCTATACCCGATAACCCAAAAAGTAAAAAACTCGGCATACGAGCCGTCATGCGTACGCAAACCAGGAATCCACCGATATTACAACTTCCAAGTCTACCATTTGTTAACGTTTACTGAAGTTCTCAATATCAATATGCACAGAACGAAAAGCCTACCTGGTTAATTACATCAAGGCAGACGGATCCGCTTGCTTCATCAATGTTAGGATGGAAAATTTTATTCATAAATCCTATTGATGGTGACTTAAACGGGTACTTCTCGGGAAGCTCAACACGTACACGCCAAACTCCTCCTTCGTATGCGGCTAAATCTTCTGCATTTTATTCAGATCATTTAATAAAAGCACTGCTCTTTCACCATGAAGGTAATCCGACAGTAAAGACGGATCATTCATGCAGCAACTGACTCTTATTTAGCTTACCTGCCTCTGTACACCCCTCCCCACAGTTGTTTATCGCATCACGGCGGATGGCTAGTGCTTGCGTCATACAGCAAAAATTCACCTCCCAATTGAATCGTACAAGTTGGGAAGAAAATCGACATTTCCAAAAAAACCCAACTCAGCTCGAACTAATTTTAGTGATCGTTACCGGGCTGGATGAAACCTATTGGCTTGACGGCAAACATGTCCCTAATCCACAAGGTTTTATAATCCCAAGTGACCACAATCTTAGAACACTCTGGTTTGGATTTCGATAGTGTAGGAAGATAGTACGCCACCAAACCAGCACTATTACATGGAAGATATGGTGAAACACACATGAACACCGTAAAAACGGGCAGCCTGGGCTTTCACGTATAGCCTATGAATGGTTAGTCATAACAAATGCAACTCACTTCCAGATGGCCCATAGAACTTAACATTGAACTCATTAAGTCCACCGGTGATGTTTACCTCGTGTTTGCTTTCGATCCTAAATAAACGAAAAAACCTGAATCACATGATCTGCTTATGTGATGTAATTATGATCAGCGTAAGTTCCTGTGAGGCACAGTGATTCCGCATCCACGCAACTTCTTCGTGACCTCAAAATAAAATTTGTAAGGTGCCTTAAGCCTTCCAATGGTTAACAGCTTCATCGGGGTTGGGAGGTGTTCCTAGGTGCCCGGCTGCGATGTACAGCGGGGGAATTCATCACTCCAGCGGAGTTTCCCAACCTAAGAAGCCCGGCGTTTCCATCAGGAAGCATACGTGAGAGTAAACCAATACCAGGATCCACCACCGTCCTGGTATCAAATTAGTCGCATGGCGGCAAATTTCCCCCTGATCCACAAGGGCGGCGACTGTCCGTGGTGGTGACGACCTGGCCGACCTCGAACTCTAGAGAACTACTATGACCAAACCAGCAAAACTCTGAAAACATGGAAATTATGCTGGGACCCGCACAACCACTGAAGACGGGCCATCCAAGTGTCCAAGCGAGTAAGGTGCCTTAAGTCTTGGAAAAACCATATGTGAAAATACCCAGTCCCACTTCCCACGCTCCCTCATCAATACCTGAACATGAAAACGTTAGAACTAAAGGCCTAAATAGGGTAAGCATGATGCATCTCGAGTTATTCCAACGAACGATAACTCTTGCACAGAAGAGATAGGAATGGAGACAATGGAGCTCGTCGAGTTACTCCATGAGTAAAATTTCACGTTATACAGCTGTTATGCGTGCGTAAACAATTTCGGTAAGGTAGAAATAGAAAATGTCGATGTAAGCACTCATAGGTGTGCTGTTGGGTTAGCCCTGGTGTCAGACTAGTTTCCATTCATATACGACTTTATCTACTTAAGCAGAGCATAAAATACGATGCAAAAGTGTTCTAGCCGTGGGAATTGAAAATCTTGGTTAGATGAGGCCAACTGGCAACGGAAATGCACTGTCTTTCCTGATGGGCCAACAGACAGTCCTCCTCCATGTAACACTCTGTGCGGATGATCTCCACCAAATAACTGGAAGACTTACGAAGAACAAACGGCTATGACGAAGGCGAAACCATCGAAACGTCGGTCATTCCACCTATCAAGAAAGACAATGAATCAAAACGTAGTTACGAAGGGCATCCCTATTGTCCTCTATGCAAAAGAAGACCGGGCGGAAGCCCTCAATTTGTTGAGATGAGGACCATATTTTCTTCTTCTTTGCTCATGGAAAGCATATCGTAGTGATCAATGCCGAGTAGAAAAGAAAGTCGGTCTTGGTAGATTGGCAACAGTATTGCTGCTGAACGTACGCGACTACATTTGAAAGGAGTTAACTGTTAACCATCAACAGAAAACCGCATCGCTCTTGCCGTCTCCAACCAGTGAAAAACAATCGATAAAAGTGCAAACAATCAATAACGGTGCGAACTCACAGCTTGATTACGTCAGTATCCATCCGACGCTTTCCTGAACTTGGCGACGACATCGATGTCTTACTTCGAAGTTTCCAGAGGAAATCGGGCAGTATCAAACACTAAGGCAGAGAGAGGGATGACACCTCGGGTGTTCTGAAGACGATAACGGATCTCTTCCTGAAAAAGAAATATTTTGTCAATGTGACCCTAAGACAGCGCTAAGTAAGTTTTCACGGCTCAGCACATGAGCATACACTGTCCGTTGTTCCTGTTTGGGTAAGAGAAATAAGGAATCCGTGACCATGAACGCACCAATTACTAGTAAAGTACTACATTCAGTACTACTGTCAACTACAGCAATTGTGTCAATCCATACCGGATTAGTACCTTTAAAACATTACTCTAGAAAAATTTTATCAGTGATGTACTGTGCGGCTTCTTCTTGAAAAGGATGAATAACACGGTTAGGATGGAAAACAAGATGACCCTTAGATAGGAGAAGCACTACGCTTATAGGGTGAATCCTTGGGATAGGGAGCTTTCAGATGACCTCGAGTTCTGAGGGATAAATCGTCTATGGGTGTGCTTAGAGTAAGTGTGTGAGTGTCATGTGATGCGGGGCGGTGACGGCGCCGAATAGCTGATGGCTGGCTGGCTGTTGTGTTTCGCGTCAAACGCGCTCCATCGTCATGCGGCTCGTATCCCTTCTGGAGTCATGCCAGAGGTTATCCTATCCATTGTCCAGAAATTTAAGACCATCGTTTTTTTTTTTATAAATTTTAATTGGTCACATGCCTTTAGGCTGCAGTGCTGGCACCTTTCTTAGTGCCTTGATCATGAATTGGAATCAATTCGCTGTGTGACTTCTCTTTACATAAGTACTTGTACACTTAAAGTCCATAACTAAGTTCTTTCTCATGGATGGCTAGTCTGAACTTAATTAGTAATGTTCTAATATTCAAGTTTTACCAGTAGTAATAAGGAAGTAGGTTCCAGTAATAAAAGGAAAAAAAGTAAGATTAGTATTTGTTTACGGTTTTCATTTTCACTTTAACAGTTTACCACAATAAATGATTGGTTAGTTGAATCATCCTAGAGCGTTTGATCAGCTTTTTGTCTTCGTTTGTATATCAGTGTTCGATCGATTCAACTGTTTGAATGAACAACCGAAGATTTTGTCACCGACACAAAGCTTACCATCGATCCACAAGTGCTAGCCAATGCTCAGTAAAGACTTCTAAATCCCTTAGCACGATCCGGGGAAGAACAAACTATCCGCTGGTAACAAACTTTAGGAATGAGCTAACCACGTTACAGCACTCACTAGGTGCCCCAGTTTATGGCGCTAGGTGTTACACGACCAGTAAGGGGTGATTAATCTCGAATTGCGGAAGACCTTATCGGAAACGGATCAAACGAACGCACCCAGGCCACGATATGAAGCTGCACATATAAGAGTAGTCTCCCTATACGCCAATCTTTCCTCCCAGCGGTTTACCGCCTCATCGTGGCTGGGAGGTGTTCTCGGGTGTCGGACTGAGATGTACAGAGGGGGATTCGTCCCCCCGGTAGTCTCCCAAGCTAAGGAGTCTGGCGTTTCCATCAGGAAGTCTAGCTGAGTAAACCAATACCAGGATCTATCACCGTCCTGGTATCAAAATCTCATGCTGGCAAATCTCCCTTTGATCCACAAGGGTTGCGACTGCCTATTGTGGTGACGACCTGGGGCAAACTTTGTCCAGGCTGTCATCGGGATTCCAGAGAACCACAGTGGCTTAACCAGCAAATCTCCGAAAAATGGTGATTATAGAGAGGCCCGCACAACTAGTGAGGACGGGCCGTTCGAGTATCAAGTTCAAGTATACGCTAAACTTCATGCCCTTGTTGAGGCACCAGGTTGAATCAGCTTTTCTTCTGGTTCTAAAAGAGCCGGAAAGCAAGAGGACGATTATATGTTAATTAAGTAACGGAACCATTGCAACTGGTGGAGAAAAGATCTGATCACACGATGTCGGTGGCTTAGGCTTAGTTCGACGCTTGGCCAACTTGCTCACTGATCGGTGCATTTAAATGAGTACGAATTTGATACATTCTATTATCAGTTCGAGAAAGTATTTCACAACAATAAATTTTGAACAGACTTCCAAGGCCAGATCAGGAAAGGTCAATGAGAATAGATAGAAGGTCCGAAAATTTGGAATAGAAGAGCGAAATGACAATGGACACCATCTTGTTGGGCTCCTACCCACACCATGTTCCTTCTGTAGACATTCATTTTTCCGAACAAAGGAATCGACACTTGAGATGGGAGTCATCTAGCTGTACGACATGGGGGAATTCTATTCAAATGCTCATGGAAAGACGACGGCTCCAGCTTCACAAATTTGTGGTCCCATTATTCTATGCTGAGTCCGGTTACCGCATTTTTGCTGCGAATATTAATCGGTCAAGAAGAAAAAGCCAACTCCTACATGGCAAAGACATTCTTACGGAGATCCTTTCCTCCTATTATTGGATGGTCGTCTATCATCCAACCAAAGGCTACGACGTGCATGTCAAAAATTTTAGAACTTGTGCCAAACACACCTTAATCCTTCAAGCACGAAGTTCGGTGAGCGTCCCCACCACCGTCGAGTTAATCGAGAATAAAACTTGGATAAAGCTCAATCATATTGCAAAACATATACCAAAGGTATTAATTAATTATAAGCTGGACGTATATGTAATAGTAGCCCCACAGTTCGGTGATTTACATAGTATTAATGAAGTGTTTCCCATGAGTGGGTCTCACTCATCATCCCTCGTGAACAGACATACAAGTGTTCCAACGGCAAGGTCGGTGGGTGGATTTTGGTTGGCATCTTTTCATATGCTGGATCATAATTAATTATAAGCTGTTGAAGATCTTCGCAAAATGCTTTAATGCTGTGAAGATAACATCTTGAAGCCAACTGAAAAAGGAATCAGTCTGATGGAACCTCTACGATGTCTCTGTCGTTATGAGATCTGATGAAAGAAGATGAGATCACTATTGTCCCATGATATGATATGGGATCGATAATGGAAAATCCTACACCAATCTTTCCGTTTCCACAATTCCGTTCGGGTACAAAAATCTCCGATGGAGAAAAAATGGACCACTCCTGATTTTTATCTTGACAAATTCGAGTTGTGATCGAGTACATGGAGACACTGCTTTAGGATCTAATAAGCTTAAAGACAACTTTCTCCGAGCAAAAAGCCACAGACTATAGATCCACTTCGCAAACCATATAGCAACTTTATTTCAGTAAGAAAAGATCTCATACTGGTAGAGTACTTCGCGCATTGTCATCCCACAGAGGGAGGGTCAGCAGGTGAAGGGATCTTTGTGTGAAAGGTTCTTTGTAAGTATGGTCGGATATGCTTGTTCTATTCTGTACAAGCTGTACACGAGGATTGTCTTATCGTGCATCTCAAGTACTTTGAATGAGGCTCAACTAGTTGAGCAAGCATTATTCTGACAGGGATTCTGCTGCATGTACCACGTCCTAATCTTGTACACGATAATAGGAGTCTATCAGGAATACCACCTGTCTTTTCCCATGAGTTTTGTCAACTGCGAAA